GAGTAGAGTAGAGTAGAGTAGAGTAGAGTAGAGTAGAGTAGAGTAGAATAAGAATAGAATAGGAGTATGGAATAGAAAATAGAACAGAATCGAGCAGAATAGAATAGAAGGGACCTTGGAGGTCTTCTAGTCCAACCCCCTACTTAGGCAGGAAACCTTAGACCATTTCAGACAAATGATTATCCAAAATCTTCTTCAAAATTTTCACAACTTTTGGAGGCAAGTTGTCCTGCAGATTAATTGTTCTCACTGTCAACAAATTTCTCCTTGGTCCCCGGTTGCTTCTGTCCTTGATGAGTTTCCATCCATTGCTTCTTGTCCTGCCCTTGGGGGCTGTGGAGAATAGCTTGACCCCCTCCTCTCCTTTGGGGCAGCCCCTCCAATACTGGAAGAATGCTATCCTATCACCCCTGGTCCTTCTTTTCATCAAACTGGACCAACCCAATTCATACATTGGAGGGCTGCAACCTCCAATATACACGACATAAGCATGACCAAAGAAAAAAATGCAAAATTATGCTCATGCCCACATCTATTATATGACACAGAGAGACAATGCAGTCTAGTTCAGGTGCATACACATACCTGGCGAGGGAAACGAATCTTGTGAGTTTGCCAGGTGGATGGCCTAGGCCAGGGGTCTCCAACCTTGGCAACTTTACGACTTGCGGACTTCAACTCCCGGAATTCCTCCGCCAGGAGGAATTCTGGGAGTTGAAGTCCACAAGTCGTAAAGTTGCCAAGATTGGGGACCCCTGGCCTTGGGAACAAAGCTGTCCCAGAGTCAGATAGGCCTGCTAGAAATACTTCAGAGCCTTCTCCCAAAGGGGAACCACAGATACAGACAACTCTGAAATCCTTGAGTGAAGAAGGAGAGTGAGATCCTTGCCATCTGAACGTCACCGCGAGAACTTTGCCCCGTATCCTTCCCAGATTCTCCACTCTTGCATTGAAGAGATGAAAAATAGAGAAACTTTCCAAGAAATATTCGTCAGGCTATTCCTGCAGGAGTAAGGCCCCAAACCTTAGTGCATTTTTATCGGAAGCAATAATCAGCTTTTACGGTCAAACTGCAAGTGGTTATATAAAAAAGGACTCGGTCTTTGCAAATCCCTCCCCCGCCCCATCCCCGAAAGCTGAAGAATAAGCAAATTATTCTGGAATTTAGGAGAAAGCATCTAGCCCGCCATAAGAGTGAAATATTTTATTATCATCCAGGCGGAATAATTGCTTGAAAATAGAGCTGCGAAGACATTTGAAAGAGGAGGAGGGAAGGCAAAAAGAAAACAGAACTCACAGATGGTTCGCATATAAATCCCAACTGCAGTCAATCTCCTTATCTCCCTCCTAAACGGAGGGGAGAGAAATTTGCTTTTCTGCTCTCCTTCCCCCTCCCCAAAGACTGAAGCATATGCGCTCTCCGCTCCATCAAGAGGTGGATTTTGAATCATCTTTTACCCTTCTGCTGTTATCAGGCTACTCCTGTTAAATAATCGGCACCTGTGGATTTTATTTTTAAAACACACACACACGCAAATATGTAATGTACATTTTGAAAAAAAAGTAAAAAGACATAGCAGCAGAAAACAGGTTTTTACGAGCAGTTTCGGGGAGCAGTGGCTGGAAGTAGATTTGACCTCATGTCAGCAAAGAAAGAAAAAATGATGTCCCCCACTGCCCCCATATTTTCAACAGCTATCACACAGCACAACAAAGGCCGCCATAGTCAAAGGCAGTCTATCTTAAACATGTGAGAGTGGCAATGGAAGAAAAAAAAAAAGGCAGACTGTAATCTTTCTCGCCCTGCCAGTTTGGTCCAGCAGTTAAGGCATCGGACTAGAAACTGGGAGGAGCGACTTCTAGTTCTGGCTCTGGCCATGAAAGCCATCTGGGTGACTTCAACCCAATCACCAGGAGATGGGAGTTCTAGTCCCAATGTAGGCATGAAAGCCAGATGAAAATAGGAGGAGCAAAGTGAGTTGGATCTGTTTGCCAAACTAAATAATTTGCAAGAACAATCAGGGAGAGATATCAAGAAATAACGTCACAGAATGAACCCTTGCAAGAGCCCAGGGAAATTTAATTTAAAGGTGCACGTTCATGAAACTTTGTTCAAAACAAGAGGGGGTGGGGGAAGTGTCATTTGTTTTATTTTATTTTATTTTTTTACAAATTTATTCCGCTGGCTCACCCACCTCCGAATAAGTGGAGAGCTCCAAAAATCAGGCGACCGTTTAGCTC